ATAAGGTTAAAACAGCTTTTACAATCATCCTTATGTAAAGACATAAAGAGGTATCGTTAAAGTTAGTTTGGCGGAACAAGAGCAAAGATGTTGGAAGGACTTTCAAAGTTGGAGAGATTCTTATGAAACAGGTCTTGATTTTTGCTTTTCAATGAAAGGACTGAAAGGATTGATGGACATATTTAAATCTGTGTTATGCAAGGTAGCATAAATGAGACCCATGGAGCTACAAGGCTTCTCGAAGACCCTGGTGCATGTGTCCTAGGCACTTACTTTTTCTGGCACCTTTTTTATCGGCTCAACAATACAAATCCCAGATGGATTAAAATCTATGAATGTAAGCTGTTCTCAGTCTATGATGTTTTGCCTTTATTGCATTTGAGGTTCTTTCAGTTTGATTCAGCAAATTTTATTGACTATGTACTACATGCAAGATAATATGCAAGGTGTTCTTCATAACAAGGCAATGGGGTCTTCATAGCAAGGTTCACATGGAAAATAGGAAGTTCAACTCTCCATGGGTGACTGTTAAAAATCTATAAATGATAAATGTTTGACTCAAAATAGGCTGTGAACTCTCAATCATTTCAACTTCCCACTACATTCGCTTTTGCCTTCTCAGGTATTTATCATGTCCTTACTAGAATTAGACTCCTAAAGTCTTAGAACATTGAAATCATTTCACAACACTTCCTGTGTTGACTTGAACTGATGATTAATCTTTGTGATCCAAGCCCCTCCTTAATGGGGAGTTGGCATGCCTGACATTTTGAAGATGCGTTACACAGAAAGTTATAAGTCCAAGTAAAAAGTATCCAGACTGGTATAATTTATGCTTGTGATTTATTTTGTTACAGAAAAGAGGTACCTCAGTAACACACTGGGAACTTCAGAAGAAAACCTCCACACCCAGCTCACAGGAGTTCTTAGGTATGGAATTGAAGAAGTCTTTACAACTAAAGGTAAGAAAACCTTTTTAAAGTGGAGCAGGTGAGGGAGAGTGGTAACAATCATTCTTGAGTGCAGAAACTTCTAAAATCTTTTGTAAACTGAGAGTCCAAGGTAAGAGGTGCTTCTAGAAGGAGACAGTAAATTTTCAAGGATGGAATATTTTAGAAAGGAATAATTAAGCAATCTGATTTAACTTTATTTATTTATTTATTTTTATGACTCCAAGGACCATGTGCATGCTAGATAGGCACCAACAACTGAGTGATAATCTCAGCCCAAGCAATCTGATTTTATTTATTTAGAATTTTTCCTTTGCCTCTTTTATTTACACACATGTAGGTATTTTTAAATTTGTTCTAATTAGTTAAACATAATAGAAAAATGCATTTTCATTCATTGTACACAAATGGAGCACAACTTTTCATTTCTATGGTTGTATACCATAGAGTTGCACCCTATATGCAGTCCTACATATACCTAGGGTAATGACATTTCATTCCACCAGCTTTCCTATCCCCATTCCCCCTCACCTCACCTCCCTCCCCTTTTCCCAATCAAAGTTCCTCCATTCTTTCAACACCCACCCCATTATGGGTCAGCATCCACTTATCACAGAGAACATTGGGACTTTGGTTTTTGGGGGACTGGCTTACTTTGCTAAGCAACCTGATTTTAAATGACAAGTTGAAATCACAAGTCAAAGACAAATTGCGTGAATTGAAGAAAAACGCTGATAAAGCCTGAGGATAGGAAAGGTAGCAGAATACAACAGTCACTAATATGGCAGTATGTAAAAATGTGGATGTGTAACCGATGTGATTCTGAAATCTGTATTTGGGGTAAAAATGGGAGTTCATAACCCACTTGATTCTAATGTATGAAATATGATATGTCAAGAGCTTTGTAATGTTGTGAACAACCAATAAAAAAATAAAGCCTGAAACAATTTTAAAAGGAAGTAATAAATATGAATTTTTAAATAATTATTTTCAAGGTTGATGGGTGCCAGAAAGTCTCAGACAGAGTAAGACAAGAAAACAAATTTACAGATAGGGATTGGGGAAGCTGAATGATCAATTTACATAAGAAGATCAGTGAGATAATATGGATCTCAGGGTCAATATTTACTCAAGTTCTCCATCTTCTCATGATGTCTAAGGAAGAGAACAGGAGGCACGTGAGATGACAATTATGCTGGAGGCTTCCCCTTAACCATGAGCATCCCTGCACCCTTTAGGTGCTTAGCTGCTCAGTTCCTTAGAGTCCATGGTGGGCTGCGTGGAATAACTTTCCTGGGCAAAGTACAAGCTGATCACCATGAACAGCTGCAAGGGCAGCTGGGAGGGCCAAGGTTTACCTCTGGGAGTATCTCATCTGAGAAGGCACAAGCACTTCGCGTGTTTCCACACTTTTCTTTCTGTTTTGTTGCATTGTGTGTTTGTTTTGTTGTCTCTTGTAGGGTCCTGATCATGAAAACAACTGTGACCAATCGGAAGTCACTGTGGCTACTGCTGCTGATATTAGCCTTCTTGATCACTTTTACAGTTCTCCAAAAGTCCACAAAGGTAAGAATTGCTTTCTTTCTGTGTTTGCAAAAGTATATTTTTACTTGATACCTCCCCTGTTCTAGGAAAGTCCAAACATCAAGACCTGTAAAATGTAGTAGGGGAGTTTCAAAGGCGTGCACACGTTTTAAGAAGCAGAGTGACTGAAAATCATTAAGCAGCAAGTCAGAGGGTAACACTGTGCTTATTCATAGACCTTGTTCCTTTGTTGATTATTTATTCATCACAACTCTCTTCACAACATTTAACCTGTATTTTCACCTTCTTTAAGAGAACATCTGAAGAATAAAATGTTTATATTCATATAGTAAAATTTATCTGCCTTTTTACTTTGAAGAGAAATATTTCCCATCTCCAATATCAGACTGTTTGTCTAAACATTCTATTGAAACTTAAATGCTGCTTTTGAAGATCTAAAATCAGCATATCATAGTGATATGGCCGCCTCAATGTTTATAGCTGCATGCTTCATAATAGCCAAATTGCAGAATCAACTCACATGTTCATCAATAGATGAATGGATTAAGAAAATGGAGTTTTACTCAGCCATAAATAAAAATGAAATAATGGTATTTACCATTGTGTAGTATTGGCACAGAAAATTGACAGTAAATGATGAAAACAGAGGAAAAAATCATGTGAAGCGAAACAGGCCAGACTTAGAAAATCAAGGGTGGAATGTTTTTTCTCATACGTGGAAGCTAGAGCAAAGCAAAGTAAGAAAAGCTGTGGGGAAGGAGATGGGATATCAGAAAGACACAGGGAAAATCAGTGGAATAGAAGAGGGTCAAGAGTGAGGAAGGAAGGGAAGGAGGAAGAAATAGAATGAATTTAATAAAATCATGTTATATTCACATATAAAGTACCAAAGGGAATTTCACTTTTATGTATATATAGAAGAAAGGAAAAAAATTAGTAGATTAGAGGAGGGCGTATGGGGGCAGGGGGAAGGAGGTCTGGGAATTGAAATCAAATTCCTTGCATGTGTGATTTGTCCAAGTGAACTCAACTACTAAGTATAATTATGATGCTCTAATAAAAAATGTTGCTTTTGTCATTTAACCTTTCAATGCATGTGCTTTATTTTGTTTTTTTTTCCTTCTGTTATTCTTTTATTTCCATATAGATAGCCACTTCCTTTTATTTAATGTAGTCCTTTCTTTCTAGGGCATGCCACCTCATATCTCAAGGGTGGTCTACCAAGTGAAGGTCCCTTTGGGGCTCTTGTTCTGTTCCATTGACCACTTTGTCTTCCTTGTGCCAATACTACATTGTTATTACTGACAGAGCTTCAAAATTGAAAGCTTGCAGGTCACATTGCCATTGTTTGTTCCACTTTAGAAGATTTTAGCTCTTTAATCTTTCTTGCACTTTTTGGAGTCAGCCTATTAAATCTGAAGAAAAATTATATTTTAATTTTATAAACATGATTTCACCTTACGTAAGTCAAATTGGAAACTGATGTTTATATTTTTCTATTGAGCAACATCAAATATCTACTTATTTAGGTCTTTCTTCAAGTCTATCAGTAAATCTTACAGTTTTTGCCTACAGATCTTCCACATTTTCTGTTAGATTTATTCCCAAGTATTTTGTAATTATATGTGCTATAATGTTTTGTTTGTAGATGCTGTTCTTTTTAAAATGAGAGTTTCTAATTGCTTAGTCGTGGTGTAGAGGAGCACAATTGATTTTTACATATTGAACAATAAAATTTTAACTTTCTAGGATCTCTACTTGATTCATTAATACCACCACCATCTCTTTGAGAATGCAAAGTATATTTATACTATAGCTTCCATCTTTTGTAGAATCTTATCTGTGTTCGGAACTATGATTTTTCTTTCTTGATTTAATCTCATCTGTCTTTAATTTTTCTGGAGATTCCCCACTAGTTCTGGTTCAATTAAGGTATCTCTGTTAACCAGAATAAAATTTGTGAAGTTCTCTTCTGTCCTAAAGTTTTTCTGGCAAGAAATTGAAACTTCAGTATTGACTTAGTCCTTCATCTTAAATCAGACTTTTCTTTTGCTTTCTACAAAATTATGAGCACAGAAAATAATTCTACCATTCTAAAAATCATTCTTTATTTTTATTTAAAGTTGAAATACTATATACATACCTGATAATGTGGTGTAATGTTTCAAATATATTATTATGAAAACATTGTTAAGATCCTCTGGGTCCTTGCTCCTTTTATCATATAGTTCATGTAGCAACTACTGACAGCGATTATTACATTTCTGATTATGATTTGTCAAAATTTGCTTCATTTATAAGTACATGTGTGTATAAGTGTATATACATGTATGATTGCTATGGTTTCTGACAAATTGATCCTTCTAACACGATAAAATGGCCATCTTTATTTCTAAATAGATTGATCATTTTGCTCTTTATTTTCTGTTCTGTCCTTCTATTTTTTTTTTGTTGTTTCTCTATTTTCCTTTTCCTGCTTATTTTGAGTTTTACTGATTTTTTTATATGTCCTTTTAGTTTCTATGTTGCTTTTTCATTAGTTTCTTTAGGGATCATATCACACATTCTTAACTTTTACAATTATTAATATGTCACTTCATGGAATCTGTAATAACCTTTCAACCACTTAATTCTCTTTATATCCGATCCTATTCTTTGGGCTATAGTTGTTATATTATTATAAATTTTTAGTCTTTAATTTACTAAATAAATATAGGTACTTTAAAGAAATAGAAACAGTCTTTTATATTTATCTATACATTTCCTGCTTCTTATGCTGAGGTTCTGAGTTTCCTACAGCCTAAAGAACTTCAGTCAGCACTTAGAATGCAAATCCTGTGCTGCCCATTCTTCCAGGTATCAACTGCCGACTGCCCTCCAATTCCTGCCTGCTTGTGCTCATTCTCCACTGCTTTTAGAGAGTTGTTTTTTAAAATATATATTTATTCAGAGTTTATAATTAGTAGTTGCAGGAGAATTGGTCCAGTACAAACTAATCTGCCTTAATTGGAAATCCTGATAAATGATTAATAGTAATGATTTATCCTACTAATATTTTATTATTTGACATGTTAAGATATTTTTTAACAAAAATATTTAGTTATAAAATAATAGAAACAGTTATAATGAATACTTAGCACGTGACATAATCATTCCTAATGCTTCGTGTTATTCCATCAATCCTTACAATAACTATATAAAGTGTTTATTTTGTATTATGTGATACTCAGATGATAAAACTGATTCAAGGGAGGTTAAGAACTTGACCAAAACTACATAGCTAGACAGTGAAGAAGCTAAGCTTCCATCAGAGGAAAATGCCTCTACAAAGGAGCTATCTACTGTGGTGAGCATACAGTAAGAATAGAATTCTCATGCACTTCTCGTCTGGATGTAAAATGGAACGATTTTATTTTTAACAATTTCATAGTATGTGTCAAATCCTTTAACAATGTTCACCACATTTTACTAATTATTCTATTTCTGAGATTCTTGGTAAATTTCTTGAATTGCAAAGAATGACTTGTAAGAAGAGTCATTCTTTATAGAATTAAATGTATGATAAAAAACTGAAAGCAACACATATCCAAAAATATAAGAATGAGTAAAATATTAAGCTATATCTGTAGGCTGAAATAATATAGGACTTTGACATAAAGTTGAGATATTTTGATGTCACTGATTAAAAGTCAAAATTTAATGATGAATATTTATTTACTATCATGCAAAGTGGTACTCAAGGAATGAGAGAAATTCACCAAAATTTTAACAGTAATTATCAGTGGGTTGGTATAATTATTGGTTCATTTTATTTCTTATACACTTTCAGCATTCTTTTAATTCTTAATAATATATTGATATTATCTTATGATTAGAAAATAAACATTCTATAAATCTGTTTTTCTGTATCATGTTAAAAAATCAATCTGAATACTAATAACATAGAATGTTTAAGCAAAGTAAAAAAGATTAAATAGAAATAATGATATTTTTACATAAAAGCTCCATGCATTTAAACATTTTATTTCTTATTTTTAAATGTAATTGAAAATAAAAATTATATATATGCATTATGCTTGAAATATTTTGAAATATGTGTACATTGGGGAATAATTAAATCAAAATAATTAACATTACTATTACCTATTATTATTATTATTATTATTTGATGGTGGTGACAATATTTCAAATCTACTCTCTAAGCAATTTTTTGCTGGGTTTTGTTTTGTTGGATTATTTTGTGGGGGAGGGCATTGGTGGTGCTAGGGAACAAACCCAGAGACTCATACATGGTAGGCAAGCACTCCACACCTGAGTTACATCTCCAGCCTCAGCAATTTTCAAGAATACAAATGCATTGTTATTAACTGTTGTCACTAGGTTAGACAACATATTTCTTGAACATATTTCTCCTAAGTGAAAATTTGTGACCAACATATTTTGCACTCATATTTACAAATCATTCTCCAAACCAATGTCAAGGAGCTTTTCTCCTATGTCTTCTTTTAGTAATTTTTCAGTTCCAGGTTGTTACATTTAAATTTCAATTCATTTTGGATTGATTTCTTTTGATGTAAGGGTATAATTACATTGTTCCACATGTGGACATCCAGTTGTCACAAAGATATTTTTAAAGAAATTTTTATTTTTCTATTGTGTGTTCTGGATACCTTTTTTTAAAAAATTAAAGGACTAGAATACATGTATTTATTTCTGGGCTTTCTGCTGTGTTCTGTTGGTCTATCAGTCTGTTTTATGACAGTACCATACTGTTTTAATTACTAGACTTTGTAGTATATTTTTAAATCAATTATTGTGACCTCTAATTTTGTTCTTTTTGTTAAAGAGAGTCTTAGTTATTTAGGCTCTTGTAAGTTCATGTAAATTTTAGGATTAATTTTTCTATTTTTATGAAAAATGCCATTTGTATTTTGATAGAATTTGCATTGAATCTGCAGATTGCTTTGGATAGTATGGATGTTTTAACACTATTAATTCTTCCAATTCATGAACATGGAATATCTTTCCATTTATTTGTATCTTCTTCAGTTTTTTCATCAATGATTTGTAGCTGTCAGTGTACAGGTCTCTCACCTCCTTGGTTAAATTTACTACTAAATATTTTATTTTATCTAATTTTATTTTTGGCAGCTATTGTAAATGAAATCTCTTGATTTTTTCCAGATAATTAGTTATTAGCGTTCAAAAATACTAATGGTTTCTGACTGTTGATTTTATATCCTATAACTTCACTAAACTTGTTTATTCATTCTAACAGGTTTTTGGCAGAATCTTTAGGAGTTTCTAATTAAAAGATCATGTCAGTTGCAAACAGGAACAATTTAACTTTCTCCTTTTCACTTTGGATGGCTTATATATCTTTCTCTTGCCTAATTGTTCTGACTAGTACCATGTTAACCAAAAGTTGTAAAAGTTTTCCTTGATATTAGAGGAAAACTTGCAATTATTCAGTACAGAGTGTGGTAGCTGTAGACTTGTCATATGCAGCCTTTATTGTGTTGAGGTACATTTCTTCTATACCTAACTTGTTGTGCGTTTTATGTTAAATCCCAGAAACTCAGGAGGTGGAGGTAGAAGGACTGCAAGAGGGAGGCCAGCCTCAACTACCCTATCTAAAAATAAAAAAAGGAATAGGAATTTAGCTTAGTGATAGCACCTCTGGGTTCAATCTCCAACATACACACACAAAGATGTTACATGATTTTTCTGCATCTATGAAGACTGTCATATGGTTTTTGCCCTTCATTGTGTTAATGTGTTGCACCATTGTATCATACTTATAGATTTACCTGTTGAATCATCCTTGAACCCCTGGAAGTGATCTAACTGGATTGTAATGAATGATCCTTTAAAAGTGCAGGTGAATTCATTTTGCTAGGATATGTTAAGGACATTTGTATTTATGTTCATTAGGAATATTGGCCTGTAATTCTCTTTATTCTAGTGTTCTTGTCGGGTTTTGTTTCAGGGTAAGTGTGGCCTCGTGAAATGTTTAGAAGCATTCTCTCCTCTTCAATTTTTTTTTTTTGGCATACCTTGAGACAGATTGGTATTAGTTCTTCTTTAGAAGGATTTAGCAGTGAAGACTTTAGACCCTGGACTTTTTTTTTTGATGTGAGACTTTTTAGTAGTGAGTCAATCTTCTTAGTCATTCATCTCTTAGTGCATTCATATCTTCTATTTCTTCATGATTCAGTCTTCGTAGGTGTTATGTGTGTAGGAACTTATCCATCTCTTCTAGGTTATCTAGTTTGCTGGCATGTAGCTATTAAGAGTGGTCTTTTGTGATCTTTGTATTTCTGTGCTAACAGTTGTAATGTATACTTTTTCATTTCTGAATTATTTATTTATATGTTTTCTTTCATTTTTCTTAGTCTGCTTAATATTTTGTTTGTTTGTATTTTTTTAAAAAAATCACTTAGTTTTAGTGATCACTTCTATTGACTTTCTATTCTCTAATTCATTTACCTGCTCTGATTTTTATTATGTCCTTCGTCTGATAACCTTGGCTTAGTCTGTTCTTATTTTTCCAGATCCTTGAAGTATAGCATTAGGTTGGTTATTTGATGTATTTATTGCTGTAAAATTCCTAATTAGAATTGTTTTTTGCTGTCTTCCTTAGTTTTGGTATACTATGGGTACATTGTAATTTGTCTGAAAATATGTTTTTAGTTGTGTGTGTGTGTGTGTGTGTGTTGCTAGGGATTGAATCTTGTGCCACATACATGCTAACCAGATGCTCTAACACTGAGCTACTTCTCTTACTCTCCTTTCTAATTTTTTCTTTGACCTATTGGTGGTTTGTATTTAATTTTTTCCTGTATTTGACAATTTTCTGAAATTCCTTCTGTTATTGATTTCTAGTTTAATAACATTTGAAAAGATACTTGATATGATTTTAATGTTAAGATGTGTTATGTGGCCAAACATGACCTAGCATGTAGAACATCCTGAGTGCACCTAAGAGGAGTATATATTCTGCTGCTTTGGGTGGAATATTCCATATATGTTTATTAAATCCATCTGGTCTAAAGTGCAGGGTTTTGATTTTTTGTTTGTGGTACTCGGGGTGGGACTCAGGGCCTCACACATATTAGGCAAGCACTCCGCCACTACCACCACTGAGTTACATCCCCAGCCCAGCTAAAGCGTACTTTAATTATGATGTCTCCTTATTGATTTTCTGTCTGAATGATCTATCCATAGCTGAAAATGGGGGTATTAAAGTGTTCCTTACTATAATTGTATTGCAGTTTATTTCTCTTTCTCAAATCTATTGATACCTTCTTTATATATTGAAGTGCTTCAATGTAAGATGGAGATAGATAAATAGATTATATATATGATTATATATATCATCTTAATGAATTGACTCCTTTATCATTATATAACGACCTTTCTTTACAATTTACAATTTTTAACTTAAGTCTATTTCATCTGATGTAACTATAGCTACTACTGCTCTCTTTGTTTACATGTGCAAGGAATGCATTTTGCCATTCCTTGACTTTCAATCTGAGTGTGTTCTTACAGGTGAAGTCTCTTGCAGGCAGCATATAGTTATGATGTTATGATGGTATCTCCTTTGGAGAATTTAATTTATTACATTATTATAGGTAATTATTGATAGATAAAAACTTACCACTGCCATTTTGCTGTTTTCCTGTTGTTTTATAGAGTGTTTATTCCTTTCCTCTATGCTTGCTTTCTTCCTTTGTGAGTAGTGATTTTCTCTGGTGGTATGCTTTGATTGCTTACTTTTTACATTTTATGTATTTACTAGAAATGTATTCTTTATGGTTACCATAAAACATACAGAAATATCTAATATTTATAATACCCTCTTTTAAGCTGATAATAGCTTAAGTTTCACCACATGAAAAAGTTTCTTTTTACACCACTCATATTTTAAATTACTGATATCACAATACATTCTTTTATATTCTGTATCCTTCAACAAACTAGTTTAGCCATTATTATTTTAAATCTTTTGCTGTTCACCTTCAAAATGCAGAAATGTGATTTCCTCCTCATCATTATAGTATCCTCCGATTCTGATTCTGAGTTTGTACTTATCCAAATGTACCTTTACAATTGAATCTTATGCTGTTGCATGATTTATGTTATTAATGGCATTTTTTCCTTTTATCTCAAAGAACTACCACTATCATTTCATGTAAGACATATCTGATAGTGATGAACAGATTAGATATCTTTGAGATTAAATATTCTTTTACTAAATTTTAGTTTTTATATAAAAATAATAAAACAAAAGCATTCATTCATTACAGTTTAAAACATTCTCTCATTTGGTCTTCATAGTTGACCAGCAAGGTAGATTTCACAACTATTTTACAACAACTTCTTTCTTTTACAAGAAAGAAGATACTAGGGCTCATTGGGGTTGAATGGTTCTTCCAGAATTGATGAGCCAATGAACACTAACACAGTATCAAAAGTGTGTTGTGTATGACACACATGTGAACACAAAATCTCAATGTCATTTAATTTTAGTACCTCTCATTATTTCATAAAAGATAAAAGTGAAGTTAAAAGGGAACATTTTTGGTGTTCTCTATTCCCTTTCTTGTCATTTCAGATACAGACTGCTCTCAAGTTGCCTATCTCCCTCCATCACTGGAACATGATCACAGAGTCCTCAAGCCCTGGGGCACCTCTGAATCCAGCAGCTAAACCAACAGAGACTGAGCTAAGAATAAGTAAGATCCGGGAGAAACTAGACCAAATGATCCCACCCAGACCCTTCACCCATGTGAACAGCACCACCAGTGCCAAACACAGCACAGTCACCATCCTTAACCCTAGGGACACATACTGCAGGGGGGACCAGCTGGACATCCTGCTGGAGGCCAGGGACCACCTGGGACGCAGGAAGGAATATGGAGGGGACTTCCTGAGGGCCAGGATGTCCTCCCCAGCCCTGAAGGCAGGCGCCTCAGGAAAGGTGACAGACTTCCACAATGGCACCTACCTTGTCAGCTTCACTCTGTTCTGGGAGGGCCAGGTCTCCCTGTCTCTCCTGCTCATCCACCCCAGTGAAGGGGTGTCAGCTCTCTGGAGGGCAAGGAACCAAGGCTATGACAGAGTGATCTTCACGGGCCAGTTCATCAATGGGTCCACACGGGTCAATACTGATTGTGCCCTGATTTTAAACTCAAGCACTGAACTATGTCAGTACCTGGATGCTCAAGACCAAGAAGCCTTCTACTGCATGAGGCCTCAGCATGTTCCCTGTGCAGCACTCACCCACATGCATTCCAAGAACAAGGAAGTTTCCTATCTTAGCAAACAAGAAAGGACCATCTTTGTAAGGTAAATAATTACAAAGAGATACCAGGGCAATATGTTGATTTTTCCCATATGTTGGTCCAAAGGAACGTCGTATAAGCAAATCAACTTATGTACTGTTTAAGAAGATCCATTTGGGGGAGGATTTGTCAATTAATTTGGGGGACAGGGCTCATTGTCCAGAAGTCCTCAAGTTTTTTCAATCCTTGTCAATAAAATGAAAAAATACAGGCACAATGAAACCAAGAAAAAAATGAGAAACATGTGTGGGTACTAATATATATATATATATATATATATATCTTGCTAAGTCTTTGTATTCCTCTGGGTACCTGGATTTCATGGAATTATAGGTAAAGAAATGGAAATTCCCTCACTGTCCTGAATTGAGGGCACCATAATTAGCTAATCACTAAGAAATAATTGAAACATTGGATTTTCTGACTTTCTTGAGTGTTTCCTGATTTGAGGCCACCAGCAGGTTCATTTCTATACTTGTCTTTTGAAGGTCAAATGTGGGTGTGGAGATTATGGAAAACTTCAATGTGATTAGTGTCTCCAAATGCAACAGTAAGTGTTCCTGTGTTTGTGGAGGGTGCTTAGTGCTAGACACACTTAAAAGCTTTCCTCTTTCTGTTGGACTTGTTCAGTTTTAGTTTCATCAGCAAAATGCTCATTTATCTTGCCAATTGTGAGCCAAGGTATCATGTACTAAGTGAATGAATTATTGGAATCCCTAGGATATCAAATGCCTCTTTAGCAACTGTATCTCTCATCACTGATCTACTCTACACATCAGGTAATAGATCACCTGTCCATCTTCCACAATAACCTACAAACTGTTAAACTCTCTTCTAAGTCTTTACTAGGCCCCCTCCTCCAACACCACCCTTCTCTACACCACCACCCTTACTGCTTCCTGCATCAATTCTAGTCCAATAATCACCATCTAGAGGTTTCCAATCTGCTACCTAGGAGTCTGGTTACTGTCACTATCTCCTCTTGATTTCTCACCTTTCAAACAACTTCAATATACAAAGTAGAATTTCCAATTTATTTTTACTAATTTCTCTTTAATTTATTTGACTCAAAAAAGCCTAGGGAAAAAACGATCTAAAATTATTTAAGGCAACATCTTTTATGTCTCTGGAAGTATAGCTAATTGCTAATGTACTTGTCCACACTAAAGTATAAATAGGTACCTTGTTGTAGAAATGATATTTTTCACTCCACATATATGGATAAGCCTATACCAGTCATTAAAATACTAAAGTATTCCATCTAATGAACAATCAGTGCTCCAAATCTGTCACTTCCCTATTGTAGCCACCTCAGACTCTTCATGATCTAAACTAGCAGGTGAATACCAGGCCCTTCATGGACCCTCGGGACTCTCTCCAGCATACAAACACACTCAAACAGATTGGAAGTTTCTAAAGTTGTTAATAATTTTTATAAGATTTTGAATTTAACTCAACGAATTTATAGACTTTTTAGTGGCTTGTAATACACTGTGACAGAGTGAAAAACTTAAGAAAAAGGTGAATTAATTGATACTATGCATTATTTTTCATTTATCTAGAAAAATAGATGACATTGTTTTCATGGAAAAACTGACAAATACTTAAATTTTAACAGAGAGTCATTTTCTTTCCTGGGAGAAAATGTGCCATTATAATGGACATTAATGATACACATTAAGAAACTCACATTAGATCATTTTTTTAATGAAAAAATAGCCATTACTTATGAGGATATTTCTGTAAGGATTTTCTACTATAATCAGCATCTTCACTCCCCTATTAAGAGGACACTTAGAAAACACAGAAAGTTCCTTAAAAATACTGATGAATAATTTGATATTTTAAGAAGGACCATTTCTTGCTGATTTTTGCAGAAGATCCAGTTCCAGTGAAAGAGAAATGCAAGCCTAGAATGACATCCACAATCCCCAGTGGGCATGTCTGGAAAGAAATATGGAACCCTGTCTCCTGTGATTTAGCTCCAATCAAAATGAATGAGTGCCTGAGAGGAAAATTTATACACCTATTGGGAGATTCCACCATCCGCCAATGGATTGAATTCTTCAAAGCCAGTAGCAAAAGTATGATTCAGTCTAAGCTTTTATTCATATTCCCTTTGGAAATTCTCTTGCCTTTCAAGCAGGGAAGAAATGTAGAAAATGCCTCATCTTTATCACATTTCTTCATTACAATACACCAAAAATTTTCACAAGATATTTCCTTTACAAGAATACAGGGAATGGAAAAGAGCCAGTGTAGAAAAATGTCCCTGTCCAGAGAGAAATTCACACACCAGTATTTATCCAGAAATCATAGAAAATTATCAATGAAGCTAAAGATGGTTTGAGAAATTAAACTGTGTACTTTCTATTGTTAGTGTGAAGATTATGGGTGTAGATTCTAGATCCAGATGTCCTGAGTTCAAAACATGATTTCAGATCCTTTATGACTGACTTGGACCAGTTACATGAGCATTCCATCCCTAAGCTTACTCATCTGTCACCTACAGGTGAAAAAAAAATACCAACCTGGTAAAATGAAATAATACAGAGGGTGCATTTGGAATATTATCTGTGAAATATTAAGGTTTTATATAAATTATCATCACTATTATCATCACCTGATAGTATGACAGATACAAGAGGAAGGTAAAACTTATATCACATTGGCACAGTATTTAAAAGCATGGGATTCAGAGTCTAACAGAACTAGACTTAGAAAAAATGACCTTGGGCCTATTATTTATTTTCTCTGCCACATTTTCTCATATATACAATAAACATGGTGCTTGTTTTGAAGGTGAAATCAGGAAATGAATATAAAGAATTGAACACATTGCAAGGCACATTAGTATATAGAAAGCACCCCTCCCCCCAAAAAAAGTACAGAAATTTCAGTTATCATTAGTTAATGTTAGAGTTGGGTTCAGAATACAGCTGGAAAAATCCTAGTACAGTTGCTATATTTACAAACCCGAGAGTTCACCAACAATAGCTCAAAATAGATCTTAGCAATCTTACCTAGAAAACTGTCACTACCTGCCTATCTATGTCCCTGGGTGTGGTTCCTACTACTTAGGACTATGCCTTCATGTTGGCTCCATCCTGGTCTTCCAGACATGAAGCCACTCAGGATCTCCAACTTAGCGAGAAGGATGATTCTCTAAATAAAAAGGAGAAATCAGTAGGACCTGGATTTCAAGTTTTAAGAATTCCCAGTAGAAGAGAGGAATTTTCAATCCTGACATCTGAGAAATGACAAAACTCCTTGGGAACTCAGTTTGCTCAGTTATAAAAACAAGGGTCTAGTGATGACCTTCAGCATCACATTCTACAATGGAGGGTCTCTTAGTTCTACAAAGTACTGCAGTACTGAGTTACCTAACCTCTTTAGCTCATCTTGGATGTTGCAGTTGGAAAACATCTCCTGTATGTTTTGTTTAAAGTTGAACTTTTTGGCCAGAGTCTGCTTTGGAGGAGAAAACTGAAGTAAGTTGGAAACAGAGTGAAGAAAATCATTCTGCCATTTTCCACCAACCAATCCTCCAGCATGTCTGTTTTCTAGTCACTAGGTTAAGACTTCAAATATATCTCTTTGCTTCTAAGGTAACACATGTGACAAAACATTAATTATCACTTAATACACATTTACCACTGATATTTTTGCCACAAATCAGCTGGCCTTAATATTCAGATAACAATGTAATTGAGATGCTGAAAAATGGTAGGACTGCATCTTTTCTACTCATGCTATATTTATTTTCAGGAGTGTCAAGATCAGGTAGGATAGTTTCGCAAGACATGGTGGGAACTTCAAGTTAAAAGCTGACTCTTTACAAAATGTATAGTCCTCAGCAGGTTATTTTCTCTCTCTTTTCCTATTATATGATAATTAAATACATAAATGAGGGATGTTGACATGAGTGATTACCTCAGTCTAAATGAATGCTTTGTAAACACAAATGACTTCACAAACAAATAGTAATACTATTATTATTATAGATTATTATTCAAGACAATTGCATGCATATGGAAGGAAACATATGCATGGAATTATATTATAAACTTTTGTTTAGACTTCAAGGAGGAGGATGGGGTGAGCTCAGTGGTAGAGTGCTCGCCTAGCATGCATGAGGCACTAGGTTCAATTTCTCGGCACCACATAAAAACAAACTAATGTATCCACATAAAACTGAAAATACATAAATAAATAAATATTAAAAAAAGAAATAGACTTCATGGAATTTACAAGAAGTTTGAGAAATATATTTACTTTTGTTTCTTAATTTAATTACATTAGTTAGTATCTTTATCTTCAAATGATTTTAGTCTAGAGTCAACAAGTTATACAAAAATAATACTTACAAAACTAACATTACCCTCCAGGGACATTTTTCCAGTGCCTTACCATCATCCAGTGCCATGGTTTTGCAGAAGGACATATCTAATCTATAACATATGTGCAACATTTTTAATTGTTCAAGTAAATTTCAAATGAGTCCCCTCAATCAAACCCATAGTAAATCAGACATGATTAGCTTATTTATATATAATCACCAAATATTTTCTCTTGTATTTATGTCTTTGTCAGTCAATCATTTTTAGTGCATTATAGTTATACACAACATTGGGTTTGTTTTAACATAATTATACAAGCATGGAATATAACTTGCTCCAGTTCAGTTGCCAGTACTTCTTCTTTCCTTCTCTTTCCTACCCCTGTTCCCTTTCCTCTATTCTACTGATCTTTCTTCTATTTATTTACAGTTTTATAAATTAGTGTGTTCTAGATCTATAAAGGTGAAATTCACTGTGGTGTAACGCTCATAGGAATGTGTGGTAAGATTCATTCCACCATTCTTCCCTTTTCCGGTCCATCCACCTTTCCACTCAATCACTTTCCTCTACTCCACTGACTTCTCTGCTACTTTCACGAGATATTCTCTTCTCTTCTTTTCCCACTTATTTTTATCTAGCTTTAACAGAGGAGGGAAAACATTTGACCCTTGACTGTCTGAGTCTAGCTTATTTCACTTAGCATTAAGTTCTTTATTTTTATTCATTCACCATGACTTGTCAATCATATAACTTTATTCTCCTCTCACTTTGGGATTGCTTATTTGTCTTCAGCACTCAAGTCAGTGGATCTGCATGAGCATGGAAAATTGCAACACCAACTAGCTGTGGACTTGGAAAGAAATATCAACATCCAGTGGCAAAAACATGCTTATCCCTTGATTGGATCATCTATTTATTCAGTGAAAGAAATTGAGTACATGGCCCGAGTCATTGACAGAACTGGAGGAGAAAAAAATACAGTTGTTGTTATTTCTCTGGGCCAGCATTTCAGACCCTTTCCCATTGATGTTTTCATCCGAAGGGCCCTCAATGTGCACAAAGCTGTTCAGCGACTCCTTCTGAGAAGCCCAGACACCATAGTCATTATCAAGACAGAAAACATCAGGGAGATGCACAATGATGCAGAAAGACTAAGTGACTTTCATGGTTACATTCAAAACCTTGTCATGATGGACATTTTCCAGGATCTCAATGTGAGCATCATTAATGCCTGGGATATCACAATTGCATATGGTACAAATGATGTCCACCCACCACAATATGTAGTTGGAAATCAAATTAATATGTTCTTAAACTATATTTGCTAGATAGCACATATCTCTGAAATTCTTTTATTTAGGGGAATGATCTATGGAGTGTCTGATAGCATATTGGGTGTCATTTTTGTCTCAGAACTCCAGTTAGCTGAGAAGACAATCTTCACTGTGGCTGGTATGGATCCACCAGTTCAGCCAACTAAGCTATTTCTACTATGGAATTTCACTTACAAATAAAACTAAGAGTAGTCATAAAAAGGTCATTCCCTCCTCAATCAGAGTTATGCTGCTCTTCACCAATGGGAATCTAAGACACCTATGGTAAAAGCTCTTCTCTCTGGTACATGTGAACTATCAAGTAATTGTAAAATAAACACTTGGAGAAAGACTTTTCATTTCATTATTCCTACCACAATAGAAAGATTCTCCCCCAGCTTTAGGGGAGAAGTATAATTTTAAGCAAGGTTTCTGAATCCTAGAAACCTCTAACTTTTCTCTCCTTATAGGAACTCCCACTGAGAGGTTATAATCAGCATTTAGCATCCAGGAAAATTAGGATATCACAGATGAAAGCACAGTGTGCTGTAATTGAAGGACCTGGGTCTTAGTTCTATTATGGCCAGTAATTTTAAGACCAAATAAGTCAGTTCAGTTCTCTAAGCAGCAGTTTCTCAAAATGAGAGGTCAGTCTAAAATGTATGATCTTATAAAGTAAGACCTTGCTCTGTGTGATTCTGGGAGAGGAGACAGGAGAGGTACCTGGGGGGCTGGGAACAGGTTCCATTGCTCCAGCCCCAGTATCAGCCCCTCCGTCCTACGTGTGTATTTCACTTCTGGGTGAGCTTCTGCTTTGGACAAAAAAGCTCCACTACTTAAAACATATTTGAAAGCCCTTCTGTACATAATGAAAAATGTTGGTTCCTATAATCTACAGAGGAAAGTTAGCATTTTAACCACTCTCATTTGCACTTTAATAGGTCTTCCCCCCAAAAAAGTAACCAAAAAGGAATGACTGATATGAGAATGTCAGTTGAATGGGACAATTTAATTATCACAAAATAATGTGGCAACATACTCTTCCTTAATTTTACACAACAGGGCTCTAACCTACTCTTACTGTATCTGGGAAAAAGTGGATATAATAAGTCATCGTATGCCTGTTTATCAAGTTTCCTTTGGGAAGGGGAGAAAACATTTTATATTCATTTGCCAATGAACCACAGTTTTCAGTTTAGTGCCCGGTGTACACTCAGATCTACAGAAATATTTATGGAATCTTTATCAGGTGCCAGATACCATTCTAGCTTTGAACATACAGTGGTCAAGAAGTCACGTGAAATATCTGCAATCAAAGACTTTACATTCTTTTTAAGGGGAAAGATCAAAAACCAAAACAACAAAGAAAGATATAATTCTGTAATAACTATTGTGGAATAATTCTAAAATTCATAGTAAAACAATATGACAAAGCATTTGGCAGGGTACTGTGATAGGATGCTGTGTGGTGGTGATGGAGGTGACAAGTTAGTTAGGAAAGCATTTTAAGTGGGATCAAAATTATGAACAAAGTGTGGAAAACAAAACATGAAGTGATAGCCTGTCTTCCTAACAAGGACAGGCTACTTTTGAGTATGACAAGGTTTCAGGATAAAGTGTTTTCTGAAGAACCAACCAGCAGAAGTGCCCAGAGTTCCATGGGGAACAAGCACAGAGAATCATTCAGCTAACATCTAGCTGGAGAGAGAGAGAACATGTCAAAAATACCTCTTCACAGCTGATAATATTTTTTTGCCTTGTATCATGTGTGACATTGTGTGGAAAATGTACAAATGTGACACAGGATTTCAAATATCAGAGTGGCCTGGGATTGTTCTAGAAAACTTTCTAGACAGATGGGTTCTAAACTGGGGACAGACTATTGATTTTGGATTGGTGCAGGGACAACCAAGCTCAGGTGAGCAGTAGGATCTCATAAAGTCCAAACAGCAAAATCTCTTTGTGTTTTTCAATATGTGTGTATCCCTATAGTAATACTTTGTATGTATATTTCAATTCACATGGAGAATATTGTAATAAAGATTTCTCATGCTTATTGCCTTCTTCCCTTACATACCACAGCACTCCATGGTGCCTCTACTGCTG